TCTCGTAAACAACACGGCCAAACTGGACGCAAAAGACGACCACATCGCCCATGAAAAAGCCAAACTCGGTGAAACGGAGGACGAGTCTCTGAAAGCCACTATCGAGGAACGAATACGTAATTTGGAAGAGGAAAAGAAGACCCGGCTAGAAACGGCCTCCTCCTTCCGAGAACAGCTTCGATCCCAGGTCAGTCGTGTGCGGGAAACCATCGATCGAGTCCTCCACCAAGACACCACGTTAGCTGACAGGATTCGGATCCTGTTCCGGGAACAAGGGATCACCATCGCCAGCATTCTGACTGCATTGGGCTTCATCATTTCAACCCTGGTGGTGTCACTGATGCCTGCCGGCGGCGGTGGGGGTACACCCACTCCTGCACCAAGTGGTGGGGGTGTCAGAGCCTGGATTAAAAAACTAGGGGAAACTCTGGCTAAACTAGCTGGTAAGGCCGCCGAAGCTCTGCCTGGCATCCTTGGTAGCATCGTCTCGTGGTTGCTGAGTGTTTTAGCTAAAACTGCTACGTGGCTCAGTCAAAACTTGTGGGCAGCTATCGTCGCCGTAGCTGGTTTGGTGTACGTAGCGGCTAAGAAATTTTTAACCAAATAATACCCAAAGCCACCCCACCAACCACCATTGCTGTTTTATTATCGATGTGCTGCTCCAGAACGTGTGGAGCCACCCCCACAGGTGGTGGTGGTTGAACCCTAGGCTCCGGTGGTGACGCCACTATACCCGTTTCACCGGTCGGGGGTGGTGGGACGTGGGGGACGTTGACATCGAGGTTGACGCCCAACTTTTGGTCCGCCGTGGCTACAATTATTTCGTTGTTGTACCCCACCACTTTCTTTATTCTCAGTTGCATATCGCTCGGAGCCATGTACAGTCCCACGTCGAACACGTAGTCGACTTTCGACCTGGCATACTCCAACACGTCTTGGTAGCGTTTTATGGCACTCGGTAGATCAACTGGAGCATTGATAGCATCCTCTACGTTGACAACGAATTGTTTCTGTGCGTCGTAAACAGTCCCTTTGCCTAGGATATTTGAACGCGTTTGCGTCTGCGCACCCAACAGTGCCCACACGTACGTTCGAATCGAGTCATTCAAGCGTTCGGTGCCGGCACGAGTATATCCTTTCGATTCCAACATGAATTTTTTCCAGTCACCACCCTGCTCGAACCTCCAGACTCGGTAATCCTTGCTGTCGTCGAATGCCATATAACGGTCATCCCACTCGTTGGTTGTGATATGATGATACGACTTGTATCCCCAATCTTGCAACTTCTCGCTGGCTTCCACGAGAGGCATGTTGTGAACGATAGGAATACCCAATCCGTGGTTCGGTCCCAGCAAACGCCAATCCGTTTTAGTGTCGATTCGAATTCGTTTGCAAATACGTTCGTAGGCCCGTCTATCGTACTGGTTGTTTACTGCATTCCACGCTTTTTCCTGTGAGAGTGGAGCGCTGATCTCTTTAAGGATACGTCTGACCTGATAGTACACGTGAAACGTGAACACAGACTGACTCAGCGGTCCACGTCGAGTGTCGGATACACCACACCCCGTTGTAGCGCACCACACTGCGAAGTTGAGTTGATTCTGCCAGAACTGCATCGGATTGTTGAGCCAAGCGTGCACTGTCTTAGCGTTAGTCACCGAAAACTTATACTTATCGAACACATCTATGAATTGGGCGTCGAAATACAGCCCATCAGCGACCACGATCTTCATGTTTTAAAACTATTATATAATGAGTTTATATAACATGTACATAACACTCCCAGGAATAACTAGCGGCGAGTCCGTTCAGCTGACGCACGCGATCGATAATACGTCGGGTCAACTCGAAGTAGCCCTGTGCGATATATCCTACCTGCCGCGATGGACTAACATCAATGCTAGCAACAATAAACTGTTTGTCGGTGGTAATCGCAATCAGATAATTGACGGTTACTACAGCGTGTGCTCTCTAAGCGACGAGGTATTCAAACCACTGGGAGCCGAACTCAAGATGAACGACTCAAACGGCATAGTGGTGTTAATCAACAACGGAAGAAACTCCTTGAAGCTCGGCCGAACATTGGCGAGAACACTCGGTATGCCGCCTGACGAGGTAAAACCAACGACTACAGTCACAGGCGCGAAGTTACCCGACCTAGTACCGTACCGAGCTGTGCATTCATCTCAACCAGGTTAGCACAACGGACAATATTCAAGGAGGCCACCCTTCCACTATACTTAGAGCAGTGCGGTTAAAAAGCGGAGAAATACAACGACGGCAGAACCGAGTCGTTTTCAACGTGGCAATATAAGAGATTAACCCAAGGTAATATCCTGAACTGATAATATCGGTGTTAGATATAAATCATAATCTCGTGAATATAGGATACCTCAGTAACACTGCACATAAAATGACCAGCGCACAAGGTCCTGGAATGAAGTTGAAAAAATGCATCAATGTGGGGATCTCCGACCTCGGAGACACACGATTCGACGACCCGGAGTGGATGGTAAAGTGTCGCGCCTTGCAACTAAAAACAGCATTTACAAACGCGTTGAAGTTCCCTCCGGTGGTACTAGCAATCTAAGCGATATAGTAGATACCACAAGAGCGGTCGTCAACACTAAGTACACCCTTGTCAGCACCGGTGATGACTGGATAATATACCCATCGTTCGGTGGCAAACTGCTTCGACTTAGGCGATGTTGAGAACAGCGTGGCGGGCTATCACAAAAATAAACCATATACACTCGTCTTCACCGACGATGACAAGTGGGTGTTATTACCCGATAAAGCCGACTGGATTCTCAATATTAAGCTCGGCTCCCCCTACGTGTTCACGGATAATAAAGACAACTACCTAAACAAAGTCGTTAACAACGGAACCCTGCTAGTGGCTTACGTTCCGGCTCAGAGGCGTAGCGTAATCATCAGTCCAGTCGCCAGTACACCATCTCACATGCTATCGAGTAAACCGAGTATGCAAAACGTGGTATTGCAGTTGGTGTCTGAATTCGAAGGCGTGATCAAGATCCTGGAGAGTATACCGGCGAACTCAACACTTATCATTCAAGTATACCTAGGAGAACCATCGCGGAATGATGTAGAGATCGTGAAAGGGGTCAAACTCCGGTGGGGGAAACAACAACAGTATCACGTTTGTAACGTTTACGTGCGGGTGGGTGTCAACTCCAAAACCAGTCTGCAGGGAGTCAACGTGATCGTGGAAGACGTGATATCACTAACCAAGATATTCCTACCCGACAATATACATTTTATGGGGTTGTACTTCACCCTGAACTATTATCGGAAAAACAGTTGGAAATTATATCGTAATAGTATTATAGCAATGTCTTGGCTTCGTCCCAACACTACGCTTAACGCCTTAGGGGATACGGAGGGATTTGATCAGACTGGTGAGGAAGACACCTTATACATCCTACACTTGAAAGACAACGTGTATAGGCGGGTGTCGTTATCAGATTTTAAAGAGCCCAAATGGATAGTCAACTTAACACTCGCCTCACCTTATATCACATCAAAAGAAGATGGGTATATCTATGAAATTAAGAATAGCGGTACCGCGCTCGGGTGTTTCGTTCCGGGACCTAATACAAAGATTATACTAACCCCGAGTTTACCTAATATGTTACTATCATTCCGAGGGGGTGAGTTACAGTATAAATGCTACAGAAATCGATTGGATATTCCAGTTGTGTCACCTGGCTCCACACTCATCATAGAAGTCTACATCACTAGAGTTAATAGTAATAATCTAGAACAACAACTTGTACCCGGGGTGATAGTACACTGGAATCCCCAGAACCGTAGTGAACGTCACCGCACCATCATCATACAACCTGACTCAACGGGTTCTATAACCCCCTCAATAATCCCCTCCGAGGGGGATAGTGTGGATGCAAAGTTACCTATTAACTTCTCCACTATTCTCCTACATGAGGATTCACACCTTATAAGTCTCAAGTACGTTGATCGAAGGTTAAATGAAACCCAATTAAAATATCTTTTGTAATATATATTATAGGATGGGACTGTACCCAGGCGTAGATGAAGTAGTGAAGACCCTGGAAACCGTAGACGGGTTCCGCTTGAGGCAATTATGCGATGTAAGACGCCAACTAGAACAAGACCGCGATACGCGGAAATCTCTATATAAAAAATACCATAGAGCTTTCAATGCCGTGGATGGTGTTGATACCACCCTTATGACAACCAGCATGGGTCTAGGGGTGACAGGTGTTGGGTTATTAACCACCATCGTGGCTGTACCTATAGTGATGGGACTCGAAATAACGGCTGGAGTGACAGGAGTGTTAGGGTTGATACTTAAATTTGTATCCCGTAGACTGCATCGTATGGCATTAAAACACGACGAGATAAGGGTTCTGGCTGAAGCGAAGTTAAACACGGTGAGTGAACGTATTTCCACGGCACTCGCTGATAGTAAGATCTCCGAGGAGGAGTTTCGTTTGATCCTCTCTGAACTCACAAAATATAACGAAATGAAACAAGAGATTCGATCCAAGTCTCATAAGTCTGCTATAAGCGAGGACGAGAAAAAAAAGTAAAAAGAACAGGGGGTACAAAAAGCCCGGCAAGCCTTTATAACGAACACCAAAAATATAACAGACGATTTACATTAAACTGTTTCGTTGAGGTAAACATGGCATAGTGTCATAGACATCAAAGCCGGAGAGCCTAACTAAGCATTTATTTAGGAAATAAGGCTTTCTGTATAGGTAATAACAGTACAAATAAGGTATCCGACTAAAGCTTTATCTATGTAATGAAGCTTTAGATTACCCTGGTCCAGGAGTGGACATAACTAAAGCATTATTTGGGAAATAAGGCTTTCTGTATAGGTAATAACAGTACAAATAAGGTATCCAACTAAAGCTTTATCTATGTAATGAAGCTTTAGATTACCTTGATCCAGAACCACCATCCTGTCTACTACTCGGGGCGGTGGGGTAGCTTACTAGTTCAAGCGTCCGCTTCTCATGTTGAAGACACGGGTTCGATTCCCCTATGTGTGGGGCCCGTTTCTGGTGTCCCCCACCATGATATTGCTGGAATAGTGCTAAAGGCTGGATAAAGCTAAGCTCACTCACCCTTCCGGTAGGCAGTTGGCTCCGGTCAGTGAACCTAGACAAATTGCAAAAGAAATAACACATTATTCACCATTTCTGAATAATATATTAGACATGTCTCTGATATCTGAAACATTGAAGTCGATTTCATAAACATTAATTTCTTGGAAATCTTACAAAGTTTGGGACTCACTCTCTATCGGGGAAAAGGTAGTAGAGGACGACCAACTTCAGGCTGAGCGTAGACAGGACTTAAACCCTGTGTATAAATGCCAGACAAAACGAAGCAGTGTATGTGTGAGGTGCATGTCACTGCTTACAAACATACATATAAACTGTCATATTTCAGGGGTCATTGCTTAAACAGCACACAGGCATTTTCCACACAAGGAATATTACCTGCATAACCGTGGAAAGAAACATCACAGGAAGTCGTTCCATACTTTCTCTCTACTTATCAAGCTGCTTTTCTCGAATGATAATGAAATGATACTTATCTATTGTGAGACATTCCCAGCTGAGCTGTTTTCCTACTGGAAGAGTATGGAAGACGAGCTAAACGAGTGATTTATGCATGTATGCATATCTATAGTTCTTGGTTCACAGCAATTCTAAACTACACCCTCCTTCATGGCAAACACTGCTATGCCTAAATCAAAGTTGTATTGTTCTTGGTGTAAAAGAACCACCTAGTGCCATATTGCTTACGTGAAGATTCCATCATGATTGATACAAACTTTAACATTGCCACACACGTACACACATACACAGACACATCTGCACGCATGCATTCATGCACACAGAGACGCGCACACGCATTCGCACACACACGTACAGGTCGAATTGTAGTACATCTGATGGCATTATGACTATGACATTTTGAGCAGTTAGAGCCGATCGAAGAGATATCAATGTAATCGGGTCCAGGTAAGGGAGTTGAAAAAGTTGAGAGTGGTAGAACCTATTTATTAATATGACGAGCCTAAATTTCTGGATGAGCCGATTGTTTCCAGTCTAGTCTCAGCATAAGGTACCAAACTCAACTCAAACTCTTTATTCTCTACAAACCGCCAACGACGGTACATGAGATAAACGTATTTCCATTTACATAATATGCAAGACAGCAGCTTACATGATAGCAAGATATAAGATAACAATATTTCCATTTATTAAATGTATTACATATATGATTCAGTAATTTAGAAAGGCCTTTAAGGTCGCTTATACTGGCAGTAGACAAGAGTTTGTTAAAGATAGACAAATTTGGAAATATTTAATGTTCAGAGACTGACGTCGCAGTTGGAGAAAAGCTTCACATCTAAACAAGTATAGAAATTCGTCTCCAACAGCGTTTGATACACGAAGTGGACATTGTCTGTCTTCACGTGGAATGCCCAACTATCGGCCTGTCTCAGTTGGTAATTTATGGTTAGATGTTCTAATCTTCAAAATTGGGTAGTATATATTTTTTTTGGAAGAAGAAAAAGATGTTTTTTCTAAGATTGGTTTGGGTTTGAAATATTTATAATAATCTCCCTTGGAACTTGAATAAACATTTGACTTCCAATTTTGGAAAAACCTGGGCTCTGTAGGTGTTTTCGACCCTTGAGACAAGGGCGTCGAGCATATAGACGGATTTAGAAACACGTAGGATAAACAGCAGTTATCAAGGATATGTTTCATAAAACGTAACCATGGAACCATCCATTTACGTTCTACAATCGGTGAGCTGGTAGTGAGTATGCCGTTGGTTTTTCAGGTCCATTGACATTGACTCATTAACTACTTTTGGCCGATTATTAAACCTACATTGAATGCAATAAAACAGTAATACTATTGCCATTAATGGCTTTGTGTATCATGTTGATATAGTTTCATTTGTACTTCCGCTAATCCTTCTGCTCTATCCACGAATCAGATCATATAAAAAAGTTCCTTGAGAACACACAGGCATACACATGTACACACTCGTACGAACATACACACATGATACAAAACTACAGTGCGACACATGATACCTCTGATACTGTGCGTTTGGGCATATATACACTTACATTTTAAGGAATAAGCTCTTTGTGGCTCGGTAGGTTATTTGTTAAAACCAGTGCCTCAACGGACCAGACATGCGGGTTTAATAGGTTTAAAGCCACACGTGGTTTGTACTTTAGGATCGTCTAGTTTGCTGGGGCAGCCGATCAGCTCCAGTCCAGTCCTTCCCTCTCTTTAGGGTAGCCAACTGTCCTCTGTTGTCGAAGTTGCTTCACCATCCTCAATGTAGTGACTTAAAGTAACGAGCATAAAGTACACTAAACGCCAAATGAAACGTCACCCTCCCTCCTTATTTACGGAGGTGCCTATTTTGGACGTCCACTTCTTGGTCTGTGTACGGTGATCCCAGTCTGTCTATAGCGCTGAATAAGTCTTATAACCGTGATACGGTGGCATCCGAGGGCTTTGGCAACAGCATTGTATGTCGTCCCCATCTGGACACATCCCAATGGCTCTTTCTCTCTCTTCAGCTGTTAATGGTGGCATATTTTTTGTACTTGTGTATGATATCATGCATTCAAGTCTCTCTTTATACCCTTAGAATCATTCTACATGTGAAATGGATGCAAATACTGCTAGAATATTGCTACGGTTTGGCGACTGATATTGCAATGTGTAAACAGAAAATAGAAAAAATGTTACTTTGCAATAAGAGATGTGAACAAAGATCATTTTAGATGTTCCTAAACACCTTTCTACAATATTAAAGACATGTTTTACTTGTTTTCACTAATGCAAATCAGCAGAACATGTTTTAAGAGACTGAAATCATAGGAATGATTATTTTACAATGCTACACACTCTACAACATCTGTTTCTTGTTTCAATAGTTGAAAAATGGTGACTTTAGATGGTTTATCTTTGTCTCGAAGGAGAATTTTATTTCAACCTTTGTTATTGGTTTATTTCGGGCATGGTCGAAAATAGGACGATTTACCTCTTCTGAAACATGCATTTCACCTAAATATGAATGCATTTGAATAACGTGATTTCCATAAAGCTGCGTTGTTTAGCTTTCTTGTAAACTTATACCTTCTAACATATCTTTAATTCGTAAAGGTAGGAGGGTAACGTTTCTATTATCGTTTAGTGTACAGTCGCCTAGCTGGTAACTAGATGACTTTGTACATTCATACTGAAACAGCTCCCTGGCTATTTTGGAGCAAGAATAGAACTATTCAAATATCATATACCACTTGAAAATAGTACTATCAGATTGCTAAAGTTAAATCTCTTTTCAATTTAACATAATAGCAATACTAGTGTCGTTGATAGCTTTATGTACATGCATTATAGAATCCACTACGTCAAATATACACACACATGTGTTAGTCATGGAAGTGTGTTGTACCTGTTATGGCAGGTGTTTGTTTAGATATGAGACAACATATTACAAATGAGTAAGTACCTTCCTACCCAAGGAAACATTTTCAAAAGTAACACACAATTTACTGCTTTCATAAGGTAGCGTCATTGTTTTATATTGAGAGAATTTCAATTCCATGCAGCAAAATATGTATGATCTGTGACGTTCTATGGGATGCAAATATGCATAAAGAGAGGGCGTTGCTCCACTAAAAGTTTCAAATGCTTAAAGAAAACTTCAGTGAAGAAAGTCGAGAGCTCAAAACAAATGAAAGTTGTCGAACGTTTGTAAATGGAAAATGTAATGCAGAGAATGCAGAAAGCACTGACATTGTTACCCCTGTCAATGGGATAGTGTCCAGGCCGTGTTTATTCACAATGCCAAGTTATCTGTACCATCTATGCCCTGGTACTGCCGGGTGAGGCATACGTCTATAAACATTATTTGCCTGAGGAAATCCCATGGTACAGGTGCTTCAGTGTGGGGTTAAAGTATAATCCATAACCGACTTTGCTCAACATCAAATGACTATTGACAGACTCATCTGACAGACATGACATCATACGCATCTACCCCGCGCCACTTACTATAAAACACAAATCAAGTTATATGCCTACATTGCAAATCCAATTGTGACACACCTAACTTTAAACCTACATACCCAACCTGAACCCTATGATAACACAAAGTAACCCGCACACAAAGTCAGCCGCCTAACCCGCTCAGCTACCGCGACTGATATCTACATTCATACACTTATACCTACATATCTTATACCAACATGTCGAGCCTCATACCAACATACCCAACCTCATACCAACATACACAACCTACATGCCTACCATAGAAGATACCATCAAAGTGCTTCTGATCCAGTCATGTACCACATACCTGACCTGCACATGGTGTCCAAACACAATGTTACCAGACAGATAATAAGTTTACTTTTACACCACTTTACAGCCACATTTCGGCAATGTCACGGCGGGGGACACCAGTAATGGGCTTCACACTTTGAACCTATGCGGGGAATTGAACCCGGGTATTTTTTTGTAATGAGCAAACGCTTTAACCACTTGGTTACCCAACTTCTTCCGGTTGCCAGTTGATTTAGGTCACTGACAAAACAAACAACACATTATTCTTTATTTTGAATAATATGGCTCACATAATATGGAACATCATTTTCGCAACTTCTATGTCAGTTGTTGAATTTACAAATAGTTCTAGTACTTTACATTTAGCATACAAAGAAAATGGCTCACGCGAATATATATGCGATGCAAGACAATGTTAAATCCTTCAAATCAACATGAACGTAGTGCCAATATCTAATCCATGCAGGTTGGCAAGAAATAATGATGTTAATCCGATACAGCTGACAGTCTTGCTCTCATCCTTGCACTCCAGCGTTCATTCATAGTCTGTAGGGGAAACAAAACAGGGCTCGCCATTTACCCTGCCACAACACATACACTACAACTCAATACTCAATACACCAGATTATGCCATACATGTACAACTTGTTAAAAGTACTCTTATCTGTTTTATGAAACTGATGGTTTTTCTTTTCAAATAATTTACTGTTCCAAGATATATTGATATAA